AGTGGATAGAGCGTCGGCCTGCGGACTGAAAGGTCCCAGGTTTGATTTTGGTCAAGGGCATGTACCTTGGTTGTGGGCACATCCCCAGTAGGAGATGTGCAGGAGGCAGCTGATCGATGTTTCTCTCTCATCGATGTTTCTGGCTCTCTATCTCTCTCCCTTCCTCTCTGTAAAAAATCAATTAAAAAAATATATTAAAAAAATATGGACGTTTATTGGAAGCTTATACAAACTCCATCTGGGCAGGGGGGGGGTCCCAGAGGGGTCCCTCTGGGAATTGGCCACCAAATGGAAAAAACCTGCTCACTCTCTCTCTCTAATGGGAAAAAATTCTACACCCAAAAATCTAAAATCTGTAATCTGTCTTGTGTCCCTTGGTCTCCAGTCTATTAGTATATACGCTGTAGTTCTTTGTTTGACCCTGACCCTTTCTTGTTGGGCCCTTCCCCATGTTCTGACCCTGTGCTCTCCTAATTGGTCACTCTCTTGTTTCAACGGTCAAAACGCACGTGGTGCCCCCGTCCTTCTCTCCCCCGTATCTTGCAACATTCCTCTATCTCCTGTGGAAGCATGGTTCCCTCTTTCCGGCACTTGTCGACATTTCTGTTCTCTGTGAAAGTAGGTTTCCTTCTTCCCGGTCCTCTGTGACTTTCCTTTATCCTCTGTGAACGTATGCCTTCCTCTCCCCTTATCGTTGGCATTTCCCTGTCCTTCACATCCCCCTCTTATCTGTTCTGGTTGGAGTTGCTTTGGACCTTCTTTATGGCTCTCTCTCTGGCCAAGGGAGGGGTTATTGCCCCGTATGGCTGTGCCAGCTGCTCAGGGCAGGGCTGCGTCTGATCCACCTTATAATTGCCTTCATTGCTCAGGCCAGAGACACCGCTGTCCTTCACATAGGCACCCTCCCCCATGGACCCTCTTTATTCCCTAAGCCTGCCTGTTGGGTCCCTAGAATTCCTTTCGCCTTCCTCCGATTGATGTCATTGTCCCCCTTCCCTGTCTCATCGATACCCCTGGCCTTTGTCTCCTAATCAGAATATTATTTGGGTTTCTGCCTGGATTCCTGATTCCTGAAGAGCTATCCTTACTGGTCGCAAATAAATAATAGTTTCCCTCTCCCTTCGAAAGGCCTTATTTTCCGGTGACACCTTTCCCACCGGGGACCCTTCTGTCTTACCATCAGCGCTTCACAGAGAGCCCAGCAGGAAACAGGAATGTGGACCGACTGGGAGAGAGTGAGTGGGGACCGAGAGAGCCACTGAGTTAGCACCCCTCCCCACCCCCCTCCCTGAAGGAACGGGGACAGTGAAGACACGGGGTGGCAATGGAGGGGAGAGGACAGCTCCACCTTCACAGCACTCGCCAGCTGACAGTGCCCGGGACCCAGGGAGCACAGGGAGGAATTCCTACAGCAAGTCCCAGGCATTGTCTCTGCCACCCCAGCCCGCCCACCCTGCCCCTTTCTTCCACTCAGAGTTGCTGTCAGCCTGCCTCCGCCTCACCTGCCTCCCGGGGTCCTGCTTTCCCTTGCTTGGCTGGGGGCTGAGTTAGAGTCGCCGTGGCTTCCTTGGCAGATGAGCTCCTAAGGCTTTTTTCCTGCAAGAGTTTCTGTAAAGAAACAAAACTGCCCATCTCAGGAGCACTCTGGGGCAGAGGCGAGCAGAGCCGGGCCAGCTCCCAGCTTCATCCTGACCCGCTCCACCGCTCCACCGGGGAGAGATGGGCAGTTACCGAAGCTCCCTGTCCCAGCCAGCCAGGGCCACCGTGGCAGAAAACCACACGTCATTTCTCATAGCTCCGGAGGCTGCGAGGCCCAGATCAAGGTGCCGGCCCCACGCCATGACCTCATTCAATCCCAACCCCTCCCCAAAGCGACGTCTCCAAATAGTCTCACTGGAGCTTCCGCATGTGGATACTAGGGGGACACATTTCCATCCCCAACACCCGCTGTGGCTCAGTGTCCTCTTCTGTGCAACTGGGAAGCCCCTCTTCCCAGGCCAGGGACCTGGAGGGACATCAAGGGGGAAACAGAGGCACGGCCAGGCCTGGCCAGCTGGGCACCATCATCTCCGGAGCCCTCGTCCGCAGGGGCAGCCATGCAAACTGCACACACACTGGCTTCCTTCCACCCTCCCCTAACCCTGGGTGCCCATGAGCCCCAGTCCCTCTCCCCTCCCTCCAGCCTCACCTGCAGCTCCTCATAGAGCTGGGTGCGTTCTGTCAGCTCTCTCTCTAGCTCCTCAGCCTTGGCCCTCAGCAAGTCCGCCAACTTGGTCTTGGTTCCCTGCTTCAGCTGCTGCCAGTCCTTCAGGAGGCTGCTCACGTCCATACTGAGGAAGAGGCCATTCAATACGCCGCTCCGAAAGATAGCACTGCTCCCCATCGCTAGCGGTGTGCCTCTAAAGGCCCTTTGCACCCTCCTGGTCGTCTGGGTCGAGGCTTCGCCAGTGGCCAGGAGACGCTTGGCGGCAGCGGCCAGGCGCGGTTGGGCTCTGGCGACCTGCAAGGCCTGGATGTTCTTCCTGATGCCCTTGAGGGTTTTCCCACAGTTATACACAGTCTTTCCGGCCTTCACGGCATAGGCCACAGCCTCCTCGACCTTTGGGTCAGGGGCAGACAATTCCCTGCTGACCTGAGCTTGGGCCTGTTTATTGTGACGGTATTCCAAAATGCTGGTCAACACACTGGTGGCCCCAGCGACTGCCCCCAAACCTTGACCAGCAGCTGTAAGCATCAGGCTTCCTCCGGCTGTGACCGGAGCAAGGGCCAACCCCAGGAGGCTCATGGCTCCGGAGGCCACAGCGACCGAGCTGGTCACCAGGCTGGTCTGGGTGAAATTTTTGTGGGTTTTGTCGATGTCGTCTGCGAGGGCACGGTACTTTCTGATGGCCATTTCTAGTTCCGCTTTCATTATGGGAAACTCTTTCAAAAATATTCCTTCTTCAGGGGACAGATCTCCATCTTGTTGCTCCACATCTTCACCTGGAGGAATGTCATTGTCGTCCCTGCAGATGAGGGAAATAAAGATTTGGTTTTGCCCTAGCCAGTTTAGCTCAGTGGATAGAGCCTCGAACTGCAGACCAAAGGGTCCCGGGTTCGATTCTGGGCAAGGAAATATACCTCGGTTCCAGGCTCCTCCCTGGCTTGGGCCCTGGTTGGGGCATGTGCAGGAGACAACTAATCGATGTGTTTCTCTCACATCAATATTTCTCTCTGTCTCTCCCTCTCTCTCCCCCTCTCTCTAAAAAAATCAATGGAAAAATATCCCTGGTGAGGATAAAAATAAATAAATAAATAAATAAATAAAGATTTGATTTCAATGTCCCCGATGGGAAGGCCAGATTCTTAGGCCCAGATGGTTTCCGGAAGCCCCTGCCGCTCCCAATTCTGAACCCTCCCTGCATCTCCCTAACACCCCCGTGACCTCCGGCCTGACCCTGACCGTGCGAAGGCCCCAAGCGCTGCTGGGAGCTGCTGGTTCCATGAAGAGAAGAAACACGTGAGAGGGGCGTCCGGAGGGACACAGGGGAGAAGTGCAGGCCAGAGGGCAGGAGAAGGGAGAGCGGTCCTGATGGATATTTGCAACCTTGGTCAGAGAGACTGTGGTACTGTCACCGGCCAGAGGCAGTGGGCAAATGCTAGGGTCCTGGTCAAGGTCAGGACTAATGGAGCGGGCGGTCCATGGAAGGTAGGAGAAAGGAGCCCAGGTGTTGGGCGGGAGGTTGAGAGGTCTGTAGAGGCAGAGGCCAGTCAGGGAGGAGGAGGTGCCATGTTGTATGAGGCCCTCAGCTTTGATGACCTTGAGATTGGCGGCTGAGGTGTGACTTTGCCTCTGTCAGGAGTAGCCGAGCAAGAGGCCAAGATAAGCGACCAGCAACATTTTAAACTTCCCCTTGGCACGTGGCCAGCTTTCCTTGCCCCTCAGGCAGGTGGGATTGGTCCTCCAGGGGAGAGGCCAGGGACCCAGGGCCATGAATTCTAAAGTCTTGTCTTTAAGGTGCTTGACAGCTAAGGCAAGCTTGGCTTCTTGTGTTTTTTAATTAAACCAAATGCCTCAGATATGGACATTCGGCCACAGCAAGGCCCACTGACATAGTGTCGAATGGCAGCCTGGTTCTACCAGGCACAACGGCGGTTCACCGAATCACTCAGCGAGCATCTCGATTGTCCACGTTGAGCTGGAGCCTGGGGATGCTACACCTGCGGCTAACGGATAACTGGGCTTGAGTTCATGAACGCAGACACACTACAGGGCTTTCCTGGGGTCACGTGAGCCAAAAAGACGGAGTTCCTGCTTCATGGGCCTCCCAAAGGTGAGCCCCCACCCTGCCCCCACCTCCGCAGGACAATGTACACCTGAGGGTCCCAGTGCTCAATGGCATGGACCTAATTAGATCTCGACCTGCTCTCCAAAATGTTTAGTTCACCACGTGGAATGTTCTTCCCGAGGAGAACTGCCTTCCTGAGTGGGAAGACAGGCCGGCGTGGTGGCCAATGCCTTTGGGGCACACGGGTTGCACATGTGGGGGTGCCTGAGCATTTCAGCAGGGGCAACCCTTTCCCTGAGACAAAACTCGCCGGGTTACCTTTGCAAACCGACACCAGCTTCGAGTTTTTGCCACCGTGGCTCCACATCCGAGCTCCTCTTGTCCATGGGAGAAATGGGGGTGTTCCCAGGGGTCAAACGACTTTCTGGTTGGAAACATGGAAAACAAGGTGACTGCAGGGGCCCGAAACCTTACGAGATTCGAGTGTGGCGGGGCTTGAGATATGCCGAAGCCAAATAATGGTGAAAGACTTGTAATGTGCTAACTATTTGCCTACAATTGTTCTCACATTTTATATTGAGGTATAGTTTGCATATAAGTACACAAATTGAAGCTCTCAGCTCAATAAATGTGTATACACAACACACACACACACACACTCACTCACTCACACACTCACTCACACACGTCATCAGCACCCAGACCAAGATAGAGAACAGGTTTCCTGTGACTACCCCAGGCAGCACTCACCCCGCCCCAGAGGGAACCCTTATTCTGACTTCTATAACCACTGATTAGTTTGCCTATTTTTGATCTTCATATAAATGTTTCAGGTATCAGTCGTTCTAAAAAATGATTGGTATGCAGTATCTATATATATATAAGGCTAAGCGACTGGCCAACTGGCTGCTATGTATGACACATACTGACCACCAGGGGGCAGACACTCAATGCAGGAGCTGCAGAGCTGCAGTGACTTGGCAGTGTGATTCTTGGTGACGCATCCCAGAACCAGAGAAGAGGGAGCCTGATTCCTCAGGGGGCCACACAATTCCACCTTCGGCAGTGGGTTATGTTGTTGCTGGGGCACTGTCACCCAGAATCTGGTTTACTGCCGAGCTGCGGTGACTGCAGACACCCTTTGAGCTGTGGCACAGTGCTGCCCATGTGCTGCCCAGGTGCAGCCGGCGGGGAGGGACCAAGGGAGGCTGGCTCCAGGGCGTGTTCAGCCCCGTCTCACTCAGTCCCACCCCACTGGCCACCTTCTAATCAATTTCCTTTCAATGTGCACAAATCCGTGCACTGGGCCACTAGTTTCATTATATAAATACACGACAATTTGCTTATCTATTCTTCTGTCAACTGATATGTTTAGGTTGTTTATCTATTCTTTTATCAGTTGATATGTTTATGTTGTTTCCAGCCATTGGCTATTAAGAACAAATTGATTTAATGATTAAAAGATCATCTACACAGGACATAGCAACAATTTATAAGGCCCCTTAGTACCAGTTATATTCCCAAGGACATAATAATATTATGAGAGCTGCAAAGGCCCTGTCTGAGCACACAGGTGGAGTCTGAAACCCCTCCCAGAATCTACTTGCTAGGTGGTGAGACCTGGGACCAGGGATCGGGGGAGGTGCGTGTCTGTTAGGAGAGAGGGGCACTTTGATCGATTGATTGATTGCACAAAGTGGTCATCCATTTGTAGAGCTATGTGTTCCCAGAGCTGTATCCACTTGTGGGTAGGCTTTTTCTAATAAGCACTAAGGCACCACGTGGTCTAGCAGTGGCCCTGATTTAAGGTAGGTGTGAAAACGAACGCTTGGGCTGGAAAATAGACTAGGTTTGTGAGAGAGGAAACAGGCTGACCTCTTAGGAAGTTATTGCAATGGTTAAAGCAAGAGGCAGCAGCTGCTTGAACCAGGTTGGTAGAATGATCAAAATGATGGATTTGAAGGGATCCACAGGATTGTCAGTGAATGTGGGATGGGTGAGACCAGGGTCAAGGGTGACCTCAGGGTGAGTCAGGTTTTGGGCCTGAAGGACTGTTACAGGGAAGATCCCATCTACTGAGATGGGTGGAAGGTGTTCTGGGTGGGGCATTGAGTTCCGTTTGGGGTGGACTGAGTTTGAGATACCTGATTAGACATCCAAGTGATGCTGAGAAGGCAGCGGATAGATGAGTTTTGCTCTGGTTGGGAGAGCAACTGTGGGGCCAACAGTGTAGAAAGTAGTTAAAGCCACAAAATTGCATCTGAGCCCCACCAGAGTGGCTCGGTGGTTGAGCATCGACCTATGAACCAGGAGGTTGTGGTTCGATTCCTGGTCAAGGCACATGCCTGGGTTGCAGGCTTGAGCCCCGTAGGGAACGTGCAGGAGGCAGCCGATTGATGATTCTCTCTCATCATTGATGTTTCTCTCTCTCTCTCTCTCTCTCTCTCTCTCTCTCTCTCTCTCTCCATCTCTGAAATCAATAAAAATATATATCTTTTAAAAATTGCATGTGAACTTTGGGGAGAGAGTTGTAGAAGCCAAGAATGGCCCAAGGTTGAGCCCTGGAGGACGCCACCAGTTCAGCCAGGCAGAGAGGAGACGGCAGCTGGCGAAGGACAGGACTAAGGACGAGTGTTGGAACCGAGTGACTGTGTGTGTGTGACTGCGGGTTTTTGTGTGTCCTTGTGTTCTCACGGGTGCTGGGGCTGCTCTCCGTCCTTCTCCTACAAAGACGTCACTGGACTCTGCTTTTCCCTCCAATGCAAGCGGCTGGGAGGGGGAGCTTACCTTGGCAGATTGAAGATGTCTCTGTCGTTGCCACCTTCGAAGTGGTCTCCTGGCTCTTTTCCATCCTCATAGTGGCGGGGCGTCTGGCAGATGTGTCTTATGCTGCGGGAGGAAAACGCTGACCGTGGCATTAGTATGGAGTCAGTGTGGCCTCCGTCTCTCACCAGTTCTGTGGTTTCAAGGAAACCCACTCACTGCTCTCCGTTTCCCTTTCCTCCCCTGTGAAGCGCGAGTACACTGCCTATCTCCAACAGAGGTTTCTGGATTTTTCATAATTACGAGCAGGATAGAAATCCTCTATTTAAAGGAAAAGACTCCCGGATTGGGTCAGAAGGCGAAATCCAACTACATGCACTTCTTACAAGCGATGCATTGGAAACAGAGGCCCAGAAAGTTAAACCTGCAGGATGAGCCGAGGTGCAGCAGGCCAGGGAGGTGGCTGCGTCCAGGGAAGGGTAGCACCAGGGGTCCTCACGATGGAACTTCTGCAAATTAACTGTGACCGCGACCACACAAACCTACACGTGTGAAAAGTTGCATAGGACGACGTGCACACACACACACATGAGCGGAGGAGGCTGGTGAGAGCTGAGTAAGTGGTTTGTATCCACATCCACTTCTTAGTTGTGATATTAGAGTTCGTGAGCCATTGTTGGGGGGGAAATTGGGTAAAGGGAGGTATGTAGGATCTCTTTTTGTGGGAATCTATACTTTTCTCAAAAAAAATTTTTTTTTAATATATATATTTTTTATTTCAAGAAAGGAAGGAAGAGGGAGAAAAAGATAGAAACATCCTGCACACCCCCGCCCCCCTTCTGTGCATCCCCACCCTCTCGTTGTTGGCACTCGCTCCTGGGGCTGGTGGAGAAGTGGCATCTTCCAGATACGCCCCCTCTCTCATGACCTCCTCCTTCCCCCTCTCCTCCTCCTCTTCCACTTCTAAAAAATCTTAGAAAATAAATCCTCCTTTACCTATTTTGACGTCACAAAAGCCCTTATAACCCGTTTTCCTCTAATTACTTCAATGAATGCAGATTTACAATAGACATTCCAGAAACAAAGAATAGGATTCATCTGTACTCTCACTACACGGAAATAAACACTGCCAGCCCTTGATTTTACAAGCAAAACCAATTTAGACTCCTGCTGCTCCTACAGTTTTGCATGAATTGTTGTCACTTAACATTATATTCTAGTGGCTCCTCATATTACTAGAGCGTTTCAGACAGCTTACAGGCCCTGTAACATCCACCCTGTGGAGGTATCCTTTCGTATTTAATTGCTCCCCTGCTGTGGAATGGCTGGGTTGTTTGCAGTTCCAGTTTTTCTTTTATGAATAACTTTTGATCCTTATAGAAATGTTGGTCACATGTTTGGTTATTTCTATGGGATAGTCTTTGAGATTTAATGCATCAAAGATTTTTTCAAAAAAGAGAAAAAAGGTTTTCTCCTCTCTGGTTTATAAAGCTGGGTTGGGAGGATTTGGCTCCAGGGTGCCCATGGCCTATAACAGTGATGGTGAACCTTTTGAGCTCCGCGTGTCAGCATTTTGAAAAGCCCTAACTTAACTCTGGTGCCGTGTCACATATAGAATTTTTTTGATATTTGCAACCATAGTAAAACAAAGATATATATTTTTGATATGTATTTTATATATTTAAATGCCATTTAACAAAGAGAAATCAACAAAAAAAAATGAGTTTGCGTGTCACCTCTGACACGCGTGTCATAGGTTTGCCATCACTGGCCTATAATATAAGCCAGACATGCACCTAACTACTTTAGGCACCTTTAATCCTCTCTGACGTTGTGAAATAAATGGTAATGTTATTCCCATTTTACAGATGAGGAAACTGAGGCACAAGGAGACCGATGTCACGCAGTTGGTAAGTGGGAGAGCCCAGCGTGATTCCAGTTGATCTCAATCAGGGCTGAGTTTTCTCCCCAGGGGACATTGGTAATGTCTGTAGACATTGGTGGGGGGCGGGGGTGCTACTGGCATCTGAGGCTGCAATGCTCAGGGCGGCCCCAAAGAGAATGACCCCGTCCAGGACGTCAGTGGTGCTGAGGCTGAGAAACTGCCCTGGAGCCCTTCTCCACCAGCACCTGTGACCCCCAGTTCTCATGTTAGTCCTCCCGGGCGGGCGAAGGGCAGAGGGGACAGCAGGGAGCTGTTTGGTCGGAACAGGTCCCCTCCCTACTGACCTCCCCGGACGTGAGAGGAGACAATGGGGTTGATGACTGGGTAAGCCATGTTTCTTTTCCTTTTTTAAAATATGTTTTTATTGATTTCAGAGAGGAAGAGAGAGGGAGAGAGAGATAGAAGCACCAATGATGAGAGTGAATCATTGATCTGGCTGCCTCCTGCACGCCCCACACTGGGGATCCAGCCCACAGCCCTGGCATGTGCCCTGGCCGGGAATCGAACTGGTTCATAGGTTGATGCTCAACCATTGAGCCATGCCAGCCCGGCCGAGGGCTCATATTTCTGACGGTCTCTGTGTGCCTGCTTAGGGAGCCTTTAGTCCTCCCTGCACACCAACTCTCCCCGGCATCCACTCTAAGCAAAGGTGGGCGACTCTGAAAACACAGCTGGGGCCAGGCCCCTCCTTCCCACAACTTTCCCAAAGGAACCTACAGTCCAGGAGACGCTGGGGTTGGCTTTGCACTTTCCACAACTCACCCAGCCTCTTTTCTCCTGCAAAGAGGGCACCCCTAAACCGCGCCTGCAGAGAGCTTCCAGGGAAACGCCTGTGTCTAGAGGTCTCCCACACTCTGGGAGCCTGGCCCTCTCCCTTTAGGACCCTGGGGTCCCCTTGACCATGGCAGCGGGGGAGTCTCAGCTTGGTGGGTCATATCACCCTATAATCAGGTTTTCCTTTAAAGCAGCGGGTCGCCAACCTTCAGGACCTCATGGACCACCGGTGGTGACCACTGCTGTAAACTTCACATGGCCCGTGAGGGAGAGATTCCCATCCTGATTTATCAAAAAATTCGCACTGCAGTCCTGGCTGGGTGGCTCAGTTAGAACATCGTCCATATGCTGAGGTTGTGGGTTCGATCCCCAGTCAGGGACACACAAGAATCAACCAAAAAAATGCACAAATAAATGGAACAACAAATCGATGTCTCAGTCTCTCTATCTCTATCTCTCTCTGTATCTCTCTCCCTTCCTCTCTCTCTAAAATTCAATTTAAAAAAAAATAGAAAAAGAATTTCAACTTCAGACCCTTCCCAAACTCACAAAGTTCATAACTGGCAGGACAGGAAGGGACTTGAACCCTAGCAGCACTGACCACAGCTCCTGGCCTGTAGCCGACCTCTCAGGCCCCCAAGCAGCCCTCCCTCCTCTGCCTGTGCCTCACCTGCTCTCACTGCAGCCTGTCCTCTGTCCTCACCTCTCTGGGGCCTCAGGTCCACAGGGTGCTGTGAGCGTCCGTCCAGGCTGGGAGGACAATGAAGACAGTGCCCAGTGTCCAGCGGGTTTTTCTAACCAGGCACAGGCGCAAGCGCCGCCCCCGCCCCGGGCCTGCGGAGCTCTGTCCTGAGCAGGGATTGTGCAACTGCTCAGGGTGAAAAGTTCCTGGCACAGAGAAGCCAAAGGTCCTCAGCACCTTCTAAGAGAAACACGGGGGCTTTCCCATACCTGGCTTTTGCTTTCGCTTTCCTGCTTGCTTCTTTCTCTAGTAGATGTGAGGGGAGGGGGCCGTGCAGCCAGAGGCAGAGGGCTGTGAGGGTGCAAGGACTCTGAAGTGAGCCCGTTCCTCAACCGCCTTGGCCTCGGTTCCCCATCTGTGAAATGGGTCTGAAAACAGCTCCTGTGGCACAGAGCCATGGCGAGGAGCCACGAGCAGGCCACACAGAGCCCGCGTGGAATGAGCACCCACAGGGGCAGCTGTAAGGATTGTTGTCACATCTCTGTCCCACGGTGGGAGGGGGGACAGGAGAGCTCCCACACCTTACTGAGGTGTGAAGTGCAAAATGCTCAGAAAACAACTGCTTTCCTGGCTCATGGGGTGGTGAAATTTGACCTGAACTGGTGCAAGTTTATAGTTTCACGCACCCCACTTAATTCGAATATTCATTGTGTCACTGCGAAAATATTGACTGAGCTGGACTAGGGAGGGCTGCTCAGATGCTACCCAATGTACTGTTAGGGTCACAGAAGGAGGAACGCATGAGCCCAAAGTGGTGAGGGATTATAAATGTACAAGAGGTCCAGTGCGCAAAATGGCGCAATACCCAGAAACCAGACCCAGAAACCCGCTGCTGGCGAGACCCATCAATGCACCTCCTGGTGACTGGTCGTTTGGTCGTTACAGCATTACGGGCACTGGCCTTTTATAATATAGACTAGAGGCCCGGTGCACAAAAGTTTGTGCACTTGGGGGGGAAGGGGGGTCCCTCAGCCCGGCCTGTGCCCTCTCGCAGTCTGGGACCCCTCGGGAGATAACGACCTGCTGGCTTAGGCCTGCTCCCGGGTGGCAGAGGGCAGGCCCAATCTCTAGGTGCAGCCCCTGGTCGGGCTCAGAGCAGGACTGATTGGGGAGTTGGGGGCACCGCCCCCTGTCATGCACAGAGCAGGGCGGATCGGGAGGTTGGGATGCCACCCTCATTCACGCTCAGGGTAGGGCCGATTGGGGGGTTGGGGCACTGCCCCCTGTCACACTCAAGGCAGGGTCGATGGGGAGGTTGCGGCGCCACCCCCTGTCACGCACAGAGCAGGGCCAATCAGGGGGTTGGGCGCTGCCCCCTGTCACTCACAGAGCAGGGCCGATCAGGGGGTTGGGGCACTGCCCCCTGTCACTCACAGGGCAGGGCAGATCAGGGGGTTGGGGCACTGCCCTCTATCACCCACAGAGCAGGGCCGATCAGGGGGTTGGAGCACCGCCAATGTCACACTCAGGGCAAGGCCGATGGGGAGGTTATGGCTCTACCCCATCTCACACAGAGCAGGGCCCATGGGGGGGGGGGCGCCACCCTCTATCACCCACAGAGCAGGGCCAATCAGGGGGTTGGGGCGTCACCACTCTCACACTCAGGGCAGGGCCGATGGGGAGGTTATGGCTCTACCCTGTCACACACAGAGCAGGGCCTGTGGGGGGAGGGGGGCTTGGGGCACTGCACCCTGTCACACACAGAGCCGCAGGGCGATCAGGAGTTTGGGCGCTGCCCCCTGTCATGCTGATCCAGTGCCAGGAGGCCTTGCGGCTCCGCTGATTCTGGTGCTGGGAGGCATATTACCCTTTTACTATATAGGATAGAGGCCTGGGGGCCGGCTGGTTTGCCCTGAAGGGTGTCCTGGATCAGGGTGGGGGTCCCCACTGGGGTGCCTGGCCAGCCTGGATGAGGGGATGATGGCTGTTTGCAGCTGTTCACACACCCTTCAGGGTGGGGGTCCCCACTGGGGTGCCTGGCCAGTCTGGGTGAGGGGCTGAGGGCTGCTTTCAGGCTGGCAGTTGACTGAAGCTCCCAACCGCTCCTTTTTTTCTTTCTTTCTTTTTTTTTTATTCTGGGCCAGCTTTAGCTCTGGAAGAGGCCAAGCTATGAACCAAGGCTGGCTAATGCTAGTGTCAAGTCTGAGGCCACTTAGGAAGAGGTATGCGGTATGCCAAGGCCAAATGCTGTTTGTTGGAAAGATTTGAGAGAAGTCTGAAGCATAGGCCAAAACAGGCTATTCATATGGAAAAGCCACT